AAAAAATCTGACTGCCCCCAAGAGGCTCAAGAACCTGCCCAGGTAGGCAGGCGAATCACAGCCCAGGGGGCACAACAGCAGCTGCAGCCATCAGAACTGATGGGATGTTATAGGGGCTGCGACTCCCCCCCAAACATTAAGAGCCAACTTGGTGCAGATGCCCTTCCTGGGGAACACGAGGGTGGGGAGGCAAAGTGGCCTAGTCCACCTGGACAGTCCTGCTTCCAAGAAACTGACACGTGATGACATGGGGGAGCTGCGAAAAAACACCAGGGGCTTAAATTGACAGCTGCACCAACTGGAAAACCCAAGGGGGAAAAAGGGCCACAGTCTCGGGAGGCTCCAGCCTCCAAGAATTGAGACCACACTTCTGGGTACTCCCAGCACCCACCAAAGAGACAACACTGAGGCCTGATTTTGCTAGGCCCTGGCCCCATGCAAGTAGCGGTTTCATCACACTGGTTCCTAAACACGGAAGAACGAGGGACCAGCCGGGGCTTCACTAGATGGTCTCTGCCTCAAACACTAAGAGCAGGCAGCCCATTCAGAAGCCAGAGCCCCACAGCTCCTGGTACAGAGCAAGCAGCAGCGGCAACACCCCGAGGGTTGGGACCCTCCATGTGTGAGGCTGGCTTCTTGCCACACAAAAAGCCCTTGGTCCCACCTTCCCGCATAAGCATTTTCAATTAAAACGCAACAGGAACAGAGTACATGCAACCAAATACGCAAAACCCCTTGCAAAGACGGAGCTTTGGGGCCGGCGCAGCCGCCACTGCATCAGAACACACTACACACACCCCAGCGCCTCCCCCAGCAACTGGGCCCACTCTTCAGAAAGTGCAGCAGTGACCCAAGGCAGTAAAGAGACAGTCACGTCTCCCCCTTCAGGCACCTGCGTGACAGGTGCAGGGCCCCGTCGGCATCACAGCAGGCCCAGCTCTGGTGCACAAGCTCCGCTGTGGGGAGAAAGCAGCTCAAGAGCCCCTTCAGCACAAACATCGCGAACGTGTTTGCCTCTCAAGGCCACGAAGCACAAGAACCAGCCTGGGATGCTCCAGAGCAGGGCCCAGGAGGTCAGCAGCCAAGGTGAAGTCAACCAACCCNCGCCAGGCTTGGCCGGGCTAGTCTATCTTCTTGGTGGCTCCTGCTGGTCATCCATTATGCAGCTGGTCTCCCCAGCTTGGCTGGAACCTAGAACACACGACCACAAGGTGGTAGGGTGTGGTCTCTAGGGCACCAGGGACCAGTAGGAAATTGTACACGGAAAGCACAATTAGTTATGACATCTGGTCGACCCCTTAAAGGGCCTTCCTTTCTAAGCTAGTTCACAAAGTGGATGGATCTAGGGCTTTAGACTCCACCCTCTAAAAAGAGGCAAGGTTTTTTAAATGGATATAAAACTTTCACATGTCCCTCCAGCTTTCCTTCCGCGCAGCGAGGTCCCTTTTACCTTTACAACCAAGACCCCCTTTTATAAACACCAATTACAGCACAAACCCACATGAAGGGGGGCACAGTTGGTTTTAGAAGCGGTTCTCTTTAAATGAAACACACATACATAGGTCGGTCCCCTTTTCCTCAACAGCTTGAAGAAGAGAAAAGGAGAAGGAAGATTGAAATGTGGGACAGCATGCAGGAAGGAAGGAGTTACAAAGGAAACACAAGAAAGCCCCAGGTGAGGTTTAAAGTAAACCCCCCAAAAGTCAGTCCCCCCCCTCCTCCCCCAATACCCAGTAGTTTCCTCAGTAGGATCAAGTTTTACACCAACATCTCTCCCCTGAAAATAGGAAGAAGACAGGACCCCAGAGCCTTCTACTTCCTCAACCCTCCCAAAACGGAAATCGGACAAAAAGCCTTTGCGGGGAAGTGGTAAGTACCCCAAACCACTGCCTTAAAAAGAACACAAGGTCCTCTTGAGAGTGTCCTTATACAGGCATTGCCC